TTTAAAATAAATTTATATAAACTTTTTATTGTTTTGCATAAAAATTTTGAGTTTAATATTGGGTAAAAAAGTGTTTAAAAACTTTTGGCGGGGGTCTGTAGTATTATCAATTAAGATAAATATTTAATAATATGTAATTTTTTGCAGTGAAATAAATATACTTCATTTAGTATATAATAATACCTTTTTCTTTATCATATTGTTTTGCAAACCCAGTTATAATATTATTCTGATTATTCTGACTTTCTTTTTGCTTTTTCTCAGCTATTGAATAATCCTTTAATTTTAAATGATAATCAAGTATTTTTTTTGTAAGTTGCAGTTCTTTTGGCCATTTGGTTAGTAAATTTGCACTCTCATATCAAGTACAAAACATGAGAACAGTATTATCAACAACTTGATATTTCAGCCACTTATACATTGATAACCATTTCAGATTTAAAGTAGCTGCAGTTTTTAGATTTTTTTTTTCTATAGTTAAGTTAACTTGATTTTTTCCTTTTACCTGCTACATCAATAACTTAGTCTTGTGTTTGTTTTTCTTTAGTATAAATGATATAATTAGAGCTAATTGTAGCTATACAAAATGGTAAATAGTTATTTACCAAAGTTTTAATATAATTGGATTGATTTTTTAATCACAAGAAAATGCCATTTTAAAATTTGCATTCAGGTGATGCAATACTTTTGAGCGCCACTGTATATATAATATGCAGGGAATGTGCGAAGACGTGCGGAATGTGCGGATGTGGGCGTAAAATAAGTGCTCTAGTGTGCGGGGATATGCAGGATGTGCGGGAATGTGCAGAGGTGTATACAAAATTTTTGTGTGCGCGAAACGCACACAAAAATTTTGATCATGTGCGGAATTCTAAAAAATTTGTGCGTGCGCACGCTCCGCACATGAATTTTAAACAATGATGCGATCACTTTAATTGATTACATCATACATCTATTATCCAATAAAAACCTATCAGTGCTTGCTTACTTTGCAATTACCACATGGTTAATGATCACCTTTATCCTCTTTTTTTCTTTGTATAAACGATGACTGCAACATTGAGATCAAGAACATATTTAAGTTTTGTATCGCCTAACATTGAAGGTGTTCATTCTTATTTCAAAAATATTGAAGCTCATAACTGGCGAATTAAACATTATTTAAGCTATCGCTTGAAAGAAGACGAATTAATTTTACCTTGGTCAGTCGTTTATGATGACTGGCAGAGTTCACTCAAGGTTCTTGTGAAGACCAATACTAAACAAATTCCAGGTAGTGTGTATGGTTTCTGTGCTGAACTACTAGAAATTGACGACACCTTCGAAGGCACTGTTATCCTGGAAAGCTGTAAGGATTTGTACGAAGATTTCCATGATCAGTATCTTGATCTACAGATCGCCGAAAGAAACCAACAATTAGGTAAAACCCTATTTTCTTCCCAAGAGATATCAAAACATTTTCGAAAAGCAACAAGGGGAAAAAAACGATCGTACGATGGCAAAGATAAAATAAGGTAAAGTAATAAACGTAGTAGGGTTAAACTAAATCCGTGTTATTTATATGTTATCAATACTAATTTTCTGACCCACCTTTATTTTGTTGTTTACTATACAGCATTAAAATAAACAAAACCCATGGAGTACATACAACGGGTGCTTTGGATCTCTCACATACGACTACCCTAGAGGAAGAAGAAGATGTGTCAATTGATGAAAATGTATCAGATGATGAAAAGGTTGAAATGCTACGATGTACAGAGGTTTGTTGATTTGTTATCCACAATCCGCATAAAATTATTATTGACAAATTCTTCACAGGTTAGCGATAGTATATTAGCTAAAAAACTTGCTGAATTCGGTAAAGGATTTGCGAGGTATAATATCATATTCCTTCCCGAATGTAATAAAAATGATCTTCTACGTGCGACATTCGATGAAGAGTGGCAAACTTTCGAAAACTTTTTTAATAAGGTCAGAGATTCATATTATATATGATTTGTGTACATGGTAATGATTAAATCTTACACGCTTCATGTTTAGACAGAAGAAGAGATTACTTCGAAAATTTCTCCAATAAAGAAAGTTGAAAATATTCTTTACAAATACCGGGAAGCTTTGTTGAATGCAACAGATGGAGGATACGTTGAAATTGATTCCGTATTTATTAATTATAATTATCAAGATGGATATAAATTTCGAAGACACTGGTTGGAGAACTGGGTGAATGATGTGTATCGGAAATTGTAAGTGCCTTTTATTTTACTATTTATTCTTTTCACTGCTGTTTATAGTTTTATTATTATTAACCTTTGGTATTGGTAGTTTAATATGTTTCCAGCTTTCAAGACATGTTTTGAATGACAAATCAAGTAGCGAATATCAATATCGAGACTGGTTTGTGAATTTATTATTGGAGGATCTTTTTCTGGACATTAATTCTCTTATCCGATTGACAACGTAAGTTACTTGTTTTCTTCATATCTTAGGAGTATATAAATATTTTATTACAAATATTTCCAATAGTGGTGAAGTTGAAAATATACATCGAAAAAATCAAAAGAACTTATCGAAACTTCCTGAAGATAGACGACAAATAGGTTGGTATCATGACGGGATCCTTACAGTTAACATTAATGGCGTCGAAGAATATATTGGTATTCTTGAGGTTGTGGGAAATGCTATCGTTGAAGATCACGTCAAGATGATTGCGGATAGGGATAAAATTTTAAAGGCGATGCGACTAGCATTATTTCAACTAGAACATACATTGCGCAACAATGGTATTAGTGATGAGAAGCAACTCAAACACAATCTTGAGACATTTGGGATCCTAGTCGATAGTAAGTAATGATTTGTTACATGCTTGTGGTTATTGAATAGTCCTTTCTAAACTGTTTTTTTTTTAGGGCGAGATTTCATCATCTATGTGATGCATTATTATGAGGGAGTATATCTAGTTGATGAAAGCGATTTATCATTCATAATTCCTGACACACCAATGCAATTATATCTGATAGAAGACGTTATAAAAAAATTATTGGCATTTAGGGTTAGTAAGTTACTTGATAATTTGCACTATTATTTTAACAGACAAATTCCTTAATTATGATCTCTCATGAGCAGGCCCGTGTAGAATATCTGAATACATGGATAAAAATACAATTAAGAGATACGGCATCTGCATCTCGACGTCATTTACGACGAATAACAACTGCTGTTGATTTATCTCCAGGCACCTCAAAAGCCAACCAACATTTGGCACACATCAACAGGCATAAAAGTTCTGCTAAGAAATATAATTAGTATATTTACGCGAAATTGTGGGGTTTAATGCGGATTGCCTTTTCTAATAATATATATATTATCGCAACCTGTAAAGTCTTTTGATCAAACAAATTCTTTGTAACGTATAATTTTTAGGAGGAATTTTTTACAGATTAGTCACATCATAACATATACGATTTTTTAGGCTTTTAACAATGTATATTGCTTAAATATTAACAAAATAATAGAGAAGGTCTGTGCAGCAGGCTATAGCATATTAATTTTTCATATAATCGAAAGAAAGTTGTGTAAAAAATAATTTTTATAAAATTACAAAATTTCTAATTTTAATCGGAGGTAAAATTCCTCCCCCAGTCATATGTTAACCGGCTAAATTGGGTAATTTTTTATTGACATTTTGACCAATCAAAATATGCGAATACAATAGTAATTCGAGCGATTAACTTTTTAAACTATAATTTTTTTTTGCACTAAGTGTGTTCATGAGAAATTTAAAAAGCTTAATTAGTTTATTATACTATGCTTACATGAACAAATCCCGAATATTATCATAACATATAATATAAAAATTACGTCATATCACGTGATCATCATCGGAACTACCATAAGCGTCAAATTCTTCATCCATTAATTGTATATTCTCATCAGACTCAAAATATTCTTTAGTATTTTTAAGTGCTCTTCTCCAAAGTCCAACAATGACTTTTGAAGAAATTTTTTTTTAAATGCATTTAATAGTATATTTCTAACAGATAAAAGGTTTGGATGTAGACCTGATCGTGTAATTTTACCCTTTACAACTGATCAAACACCTTCAATAGGTTGCAATTCACAATAATAAGGAGGGGTAAAATTAACTTCATGTTTATATTGTTCTGCAATCTTAATACACAAAAATGGAACCTTTTCTTTGTTTATTTGAATCAGTTTCAAAAGTTCTGATTTTTTTAACTCATCTGAAAAAGCAATATCATGTACATTTAACCAATCAATAATTTCTTGCTTTTTTTGCATTTGAAGTTAGAATACTTTCAACCCATCATTTATGATAGCTTGTCCATCCATATGAATACATACAGACCTATATTTTTCATGAAGGGTTTTGCAAAGAGTTAAAAAAAGGTCCTCAAAAATTTCTGCAATAAAATTTTCATGATAATCTATTTAGTTAGGAATGATATTTGCTTTTTTAATAACATCAGGAACATCATTCTATTCTTTAGCATTATTCCTTTTTTTTTCTCTATTACTTGAAAGTTTAATTGTTAGATCCTAAATATAGACAGAATTAGGAACAAGTTCACTATTTAGCTTATTAGAAGATTTATTTCAGAATACAATAATTACTCTAAAAATTATCACTAACAGACTATGCTCAGGTACCAAAATAACACCATGATAAGGAACCCATATATTGCAAGCATTATAATGTAAGTAGCAGTATGATTTATCAAGAAAAACTTCTGGATGATGTAAAACATCATTTTAGCCTTCTAAATTAGCAAACAAAAATAAAGATAATGACTACGAAATGCAACATCATTTGGTGATTTATGGAGGAAATTTCTATGTTCTCCTAATCATAATAAAAGCCCAATCAGTATAGTATTCAAAGAAGCTTCCATTTAGAAAAGTCATATCCTTTTTCAGCAAGAAATTGTCATAAGATATGTGTAAAAAGTTGTTTGGCTATTTTGTTAGAATTTAAAATTTTCGTACGTAAAATTTCTAAAATATTTTATCAAATTGCAATTTAAGTTAACTAAGGGTTTTATGCAGTATAAAAGTATTATCACTATGCTTGTTCTAATTTGTTATAATCATTCTAACTATACTTTCTGATATATTTAATATATCAGAAATCCGCTTGCATAATGTGATCTTCTGATGGTTCTTTGTTTTAAAGTTAACCTCCAAAAAATAATTGTAAACAGAGATTATCATTAATTTTTCATTATCAGTTAATGGTGCACCACTTTGTTTTATAAGGGAACTATGGATAAGAAAACAAAAAAACTATAGTGAAAAATATTTATTCAAAGCCGTTCTAATATATATTTTTTTCAGTCCATTTTATTTTAGCTGTATAATATTTTTCTTGGTATAAATCCTTTCCTTTTTAGGTAAGATACAAATCTTTTTGCACTGGCCTATATATATAAATTAAACATATGTATTATTACTATTAACTTTACATATTGCTTTATTATGATCTTTTTCTTTACATTTTAATAAGTTTTTTGCTTACCTTTTTCATTTCATCTGAACTATTATATATATTAGCATTTTCATTTAAAGGTTATAAATGTTGACATTTTTTAGCTCTCTAATCTTAAATTTCAACAAAAGTTTTTGCTCTTCTTGCTGGCTTTTCTTTTCTTGCAATAATTATAGGATTTTTAATATTAAATTCAATTCTTTTATATTTAGATTTGACTCAAGATTTCCTTATTTATTTAATATAAATTTATGACAAATATTTATAAATTCATTATAAGAATTAGTAGTAAATGCAATATTAAGTACTTTTCTTATTATACCATTTTCTAAGCTATATTTTTAGCTTATATTGTTAATTCTTTATAAATTTTGATTATAGAATTCAACACTACAGACATGTTTCATATAATCAAACTTATACATTAATTGTTGATTATTACTTTATTTTTGATTTGAATCTCCATTTAATTTAAAACAAATATTATAAAACTTTATAAAAATAGTGATATAGATATCCATGTATTATCCCTTAAACTGTAGAGGTTTGCAGGCAAATTTGCCTGCTTATTTACTATAAATTCCCTTCTGATTTACTTT